TTTGACATTTACAAGTGAAGATGTGTGTGAAAATATAAAAATTTTAAAATTCTATGTTTCAAGTATTATAAATATTGATCAATATTATTGACGATTTAGCTCAAATTTTTTCGATACCGAAAGCATAGAATGAGAGAATTTCCAGTATTCGTTTCATAGAATCCGCAAACATTCCACACAAAAAAATTTAAGGATATTACCAACACATAAATTTATTCCAATATAATGAATTGCAATTATTTATAAACATGCAACAATTAGGCGTGTAAACAAAAATGTTGAATGATCGCAAATAAATACAAAAAAATATTCTAAGAAAAATTGGTTTATCCATTTTTTATGACGATATAATTAATGATATTATTTTTCACATTTCAAATTGAATGATAAAGCTTACCAGCAATTTCGTGTGCCACAAGTATATAATATTTATCAATAATGAAAGCAGCGGCATTTCTACTAATTTCCCGACATCAAATTGAGCTATACTTGCCACGAAAACAAACAACAAAACTTACACTCTCCAAATTGATAGATTCGAAATGATTTGTGCCAATAATCAACACTGATATATCTTAAGCCACCGCAACAAATTTATCATTAGTAATGAATATTTCGACTGCTCTGCTTCCTGTCTGCCATCTCACTCTCGTCCATTACTTCCTGCCTGCCACTACACTCACTGCCAACTCCTTCTGCATGCATGTCTATGCCTATCAGCAATTCATCAATTTAGAGCTGTTAGTTTATTTGTTTGTTTGTTTGTCTGGCTGCCGGCGCTTCCCATCCATTACAACGTCGAAAAGCAAATAAAGAAATTTCATCTTCCCGACCTCCCACAACCTCACAGCGCATTTCCCAAAACAGCTAATGACACTGTTGATGAAGACACTGATTGTGTGGTTTGTCTTTCAACGGCAGCGAATAAAAGTTTATGTGGCAAGCAAAAAAAAAATATACTTCAAATTTTGCTTACTACTCGTGAAGTAGCAGCTGCAGTTGTACTTTTGATCTTGATAAAAAGTTTTTCCCTTGCTTAATGACTAAATGAGATACGGAAGGTGCTAACTGGAATGAAGGGCGTTAAAGTTTAGGCAACCGGAAGTTTTGCATTTTTTCTTATTAACTTAAAAAGTATTTTAAAATTAGTCGGCATTATTTGTATGCTAATGAGTTTATTTCTGCGTTAAGAGCTATATAAAGCTCTATCTCCCATCCTTCTTCTATATATTTCCTTTACTTTTTTCTTCCATTCTCATTTTTTTCGTTGTATTACACTTTTTCCTCTTTTCCTGTTCTTTATACTAGTGCCCTTTTTTCTTTTCTCGTTAAAACTTCTCACGAAACTATTTTATACGCATGTTAACCCATTTTCTTGACACAAGTTTTACACTATTGGTCTCTTAGCTTTATAGTTTTATTTTCCTTAAAAGTGCAACTCTCTTTTTGTTTTACTCTTCATGTTTACTGTTTGCCCTTTTCTCCTGTGGGATTCGCCTGCGTCAATAAACAAATAAAAAGTTTATACAATTCCTTTTCAATGACTACTATAATGAAAGAAGAAACTTGACTACTCTAACGTTAATATAAACATGTGTACCATGTAGGAAAAATACATATTCACGATGTGAAGTCTTACTAAAAAACATACCTATAGACTTGTCAATAAACTCAGTATCTAATCTTTTTGATCCAAACTGTCTCAAAGAAAATTGACGTTCTAAAAAATAAACCTATCCCTCTCCTTTTTTCTCTCTGTATCTGTCTCTCTGAAGCTAATGTTTATGCATCAATAGGTGTAGAACTATACGCTCTACGGTATACGTTGGAAAAAAATTAAAAATATTAAATGAATATTCTCAATATATGTTTATTTTTCGAATTTTTGGAACAGTGAGCTTATATTCCGATTATTTTATTTAAACAGAAACGATATAGTAAGAGATATCCATTTTTTTTAACCTGAAATATGTCTCTATCAAAAAATTAGTAGACTAACGAGAAAAGTTAGCTAATATCACATTTTTTTCCATTTTTAGGTGGTATTCTAACTATTTTTGATTATTCGACCATGTGATAATTAATAATTTCTTGAAAATTTTTCAAGTTTTTAGGCCATTTATTACAAATACAACCCTTTTTCATTAAATATATAAGCCTGTGTATCACTATAGACATAAAAATCAATATTAACATGTAAATACATAAAAAAGTTTTAACGTCAAAATATCTACATAATTTATCATTATAACTATATAAATATTTTCAAAATTACGATACATTAAATAGTATTTTGTAATTAAAATTACCGAATAAATTTACCCTTCATGCTCCTGAGCTGTCACAATTCAAAATTAACAGCGAATTTTTCCTACAGGGTATGCTAACATAGTTGCCATCCACAGTGTTATGGCCAGTTTTCATGGAATTTAACTTTACACCCTTTTGCACAAATTTTACACATTTATGTTTGCTTGTATGTTAAACACCTAGGACACTCTCATAAATATGAAAATCGTGTCTAATGATGTGTACCTGTGCACATATATGTAAATATATATGTACGTGTGAATAGGGAAACCATTAGAGGTGCCAGCTGTGGTGTGTCTAGACAAAATTTACACGTGTTGTAAGCATTTTTGCCCGAGACATTATTTGTCGATTGGACAAAGATAGTCAACGCTCGAGCGAGTTTGAGCACGTGTCTAAACACTTGCACGCATTTCTGTGAAATATATGCAAATGTGTTTCAAAGCTTTGGCCACAATGGCCACTGAAATAAATTTAAGCATTTGTTTTTATGTGTTTGTGTGGCTATTATGCGTCTGCTTATGTAACGCCGTTAACGCTTTATACTTTGATAAGCTTTAGATTGATTACCTAAGCAGTTGCGGAAGCAAATATTGCTTTTAAAGACGTGTATCCGAATTGGAAATTAGCTAACAAGGCGATTTCTACAATATTTACATAAATGTTAATGCAATTTTGGGTATTAGGGAGGATATACCATATAGTTAAGTTAAGTTAAATTTGAAACACAAACTTAGAGTAGTTAAGAGGTACGAAGTAATTTTATAACTTTTTCGAACTGTGTTGCTAATGCGACATGGTGTTCAATACACGCAAAAAAAAGATAAAAGAGGCAAATTAAGTTTAGACCAGCCTTCGTCTACTTTTTACTTATTGATTTGCCATTCAAAGGAAGTACACAAGAGTTTGTAACCCAAAAGGCATCACAAAATTCGTGAAATTGTGTTGGATGAACATAAAATGAAAATAAAAAACTGATTGTGCTTGAGATGCGACCGAAAAATTAAGACAATTAAGCTATTAACTAATGACCCGTTCTTTCCCAAACTCAAAAATTAGTTTGATGGAAAAATATTTTACTCAAAAAAGGAGATAAGTATGCAAAGAAACGTTTATTTTGAAGGCCTCGGAGCTTCCTCTATCGAACCGGTGTAGAAATATTGGAGAATCATTTCAACAAATTCACTACTTTTGATGGAGAGTATGTTAAATGATAAAGCCATATTTTCCTACAAAATAATATTATTCCATGGCTCTGCCAAAAAACCATCCTAGCCATTTGGTATATTAACAATTTTCAACTTGAAAAAGCCACCTATATTTCTTTAGATTTGCAAAAAAATACCCTCTGAGTTTCATTAAAATACCTCCACATATTGTCCAATATATAATATATATATACATTATTTTATGCTATAATCAATAGTTTTTGCAGCGCATGCGATATAGGATTTTTAGGTCATTTTTTTACAACTTGGGTTATATTGTTGATGTTTTAGTAAGAATCCTTAACTTTTTGGAAAATATAATATACATAGCCTATGTTCACCGGAGATAGTGTAGCTTTTCAACGGTGAAAGCATTTCAAATAGTTTCGAATGCTATTTAATTCAAACAAACAATCAAATATTTCCTCTTTATGATATTAGTATAGATAAATAGTTCCCATGCATATAGATGTAGTGTCTCAACTTAAAAAGCTGCAGTGTTTTTATTCGCAAATTTCTATGTTAACTTTCATGTAGAATTCTTAAAGCAGGCTATGAGGCAGCTATACGTGCCACGACACAACTGTTGCTAAGGCTTCAGCACGAAAAGTTATGGTGAAGAATGTAGAGATGTTAAGAGTTCTTCTATAAAAAGAAATTTATCAGTTGGCATACTGGTCTTCTTTCTACCGATCAACTTTAACTAAATACTAAGAGATAAATCGCTGGTTTGGTTAATATCAGAAAGCTTTCTTTAAGCTTTTCTTTGAAGCACAATTTCAACTTGCTATAATAACAAATATGGAATTAAGTAGGTATACATAAAGAAGTTTCAAACAAAATATTTAAAAATATAAGTTTTTGTTAAGCGTATTATTAAGTGTGTTATGTAATGAAATTTTATATATTTATTCTTTTGTTCTAAATATTTTTTATAAATCTTTTGTAGACAACTATTTGAATATTTGTAGTAATTTATAAATAAACACGCATATTTAAATCACTTGCACTAGTAGTTGTAGTTGTGTTGTAGAATTCGAGCTCTGAATGTGTGAACCATCCTTAAACATCTAACCTAGTAACCAGCACTCATCACATTCGCATATGAAAACATTACGTAAACTAGCATAAACAAACTAACAGACAGTGTTCTGTCTATAAACATCTTTTTTTTTATAATATTGAATAAAGTAATTTACTAATTTTTATTTTATTAAAGTAAATTTTATAAAATTAAATTTAAATTAATTGGCGTAGCTACATAAATACTAAAACAAAATTTGAAAAATTTAATTATTGAGCCTAAAACAATATTTTTTCAAATTTTCTTCGATTATTAATTTTAGTAATTAAAAAAACAATTAAAAGCAGAAAATTTAAGAAAATCTATGAAAAATACAACAGCAACTCTAAATATAATATAAAATATTTTTCTCTCTCTTCTTTATCTCTTTAACACACGCTCTCCCATGCAATTAATAGGAGGTACCACCAATCAAGGCAATACCATACACGAATTGGACACAAACAACGTAAATAGCCAACCGACAGACACTAAAGTGATCGAACACACAACCGGCAACGAAGTACTCATCATGAATACCAGCGACGACGATCGAACGGCGAGCTTCTTCGCACAACCCGGCATTTTAGCAGGTAAGTGGCTCTTCCACAAAAATTTTCTTTCTCGCAAGTAATTTTCCTCCGGCATATTTTAAACTCTTTCTTTCATTTTCTCTGCATTTTTTATAGCTGTCATCGGTGGCGCTGTTGTCGGCCTGCTCTGCGCCATTCTCGTCGTTATGTTCATCGTTTACCGCATGCGGAAAAAGGACGAGGGCTCCTATGCGCTCGATGAACCCAAACGCTCACCGGCTGTCAATTCCTATGCGAAAAACGCGAATAATCGAGAATTCTATGCCTGAGATAATTCCCAACGTTACTAGAGAGTAGACGCTGTAGCGCAGGTAGTACGAGTTGACGGTGTAAAGTTGGCGGCGAGCGCAGCAGCAGGAAGTAGAGAGAGTATGGACGATGGGTGCGAAGGTGGAGCAGTGAATGGGAAAAATATAATAAAATAAAATTTAATAAAATGTAAGCGAATAAGTAAATAGTGAATAGTGAAACAAATTACAAAGAAACAAGAAAAGAGAAGAGAGAAGAAAGAAAGCAGCAGAACCACAAAACAGTTTGAACGTGTGAAACGCAAGCATAACGAAAATTATAACAAGCAATTATTAGTTTTTTCTGAAAATTTTTCGGAATTTCTTTTTTAAATTGCTACACACAAAAAAGTTTGGAATTAAAATTCAGTTACACACATCTACACATACATATATTTATACATACACACGCGCACTGGACGTGCCTACAGATATGAAGTTGTTTGTTTTTGGTGTAAAAAAGCGAAAATATTTTGGGAGAAGAAGCAGCAGAACTTACAAAAAGAATAATAACGGTTATTTCGCGCGTAAAACAGCATAACTCGATTAAGTGTAAAGTTTTTTCTGGCTAAACTTGCAAGCAAATAGTTTAGTTGCAAGTTTTTGTGTACGAAAAAAAAGTGAAACAAAAACAACAAAGCGCAAGCGAAAATGCGGAGAAAAACAGAAAAGAAACTGAATTTTTTATTTGTAACAATTAAGTTATTTTAGTTTGAATAACGCAAACAATAACAAAAACACTGGAGCATACAGCATAGATATGTATGGAAAGCAAAAAATGCAACAACAATTGTGAGACGCTGGCAAGCGCGCGCCAGAAAATATCAGATTATTTTAAATGGAATTCTCATTTCGAACGTTTAAAGGAAATTATGAAATTATATAAATTAATATATAAAATAAATTGCATATAGACGTAGAAAACATATATAAAAAAAAAAAAAAATAAAAAAACATTAAAATAATATTAAATGGATAAAAGAAATACTTTATAAGGGCGGGACACTTTTCATAAATGTAGCAAAATTTACTAAAAAAAGTGAAATTTAACAAATCCACACACACACATCCACAAACAAAGAAACAAAAATGCAAGTAACAACAAACACACACTCACACAACTATTTAATAATTAAGTAAATATATATGTGAATGTGTGTGTACGAGTGAGCACTCGAAATATTAAAGAAAAATTAAGAAAAAACACATAAAAATACAAATAAGCATAAATATGTATGTAAACTTTTAGTACCGAAAACATTTAAAAAACAACAAATAAATATATAAAATTGATAGTAAGATAAAAAATTAAAATAAATAAAATTAATGTAGAAAAAATATTATAAGTTTGTGAACTGCAAATATTATGATGTTTGTAAAATAAAAAAAAATAAAAATATGGCTAGAGTTATTGTTTGTAAGTAAAAGTTATAAATATATTAACAGCAAATAACTAATGAGTTAAAAAAATATTAAAAATCGAAAATAAAAAAAAAACTGATAATAGTAGCACGAAAACAGTAAGGAAGCATAATAAGTTGACTAAAATGAGGAACTTAAAAGTTTAAAAAATAATAACAACAAGTTTGAAATAAAATAAGATAATTGTAATAAAAATATATAAATAAATAATATAATATAATATATATAAATAAAATTTTTGAAAACAAAAATACAAATAAAAACAATAATGAATGAAAAAGAGATAAAATTGTAATAAAATATAAAACATTCTTATTATTATTATTTTTTCTTTAATTAATATCAATAAATTTTTTGAAATGACAAAAAAAATTTTTTTTTAAATAATAATAAATTAACATTGAATAATAAATTAAAATAATTATAATTTTTTGAAAGGAATATAATGATTAAAAAAAAGATAATACTATAAATAATGTTTTTACAATGACGAAAAAATAGATTTGAAAAAAGTAGTGAATTAAAATGAAAAGATAAAATATTAATCACACTTATGAAACTACAAAATAATTAAAATTTATAAAATAATATTAAATATAAATATAACAAATATATAAATAATCATAAAAAAATATTATCATATAACTGATTACTTACATTTAAAATATAAAAAAAATTAAATTTAAAAATAATTTTAAAAAAATTAAAAAAATATTTGAAAATAAAAATTAATTATTATTATTTACAATAAATAAATTTTTATAAAAATAAATTATTTTTATTTAACAAATATAATTTTTGTATTAATGAAAAGGTTCAAACATAAGCCTCAATAATTTTAAATATTAAATAACTATAATTATAAAAATCACACAAAATAACTTAAATAAAAAATATATAAAACTCTACAAAATAAATTTAAATTTAAAAAAATTAATAAAATTTAGTTGAAGATTTAATAGTAAACAATTACAACAAAAACCCGTAATAATAATACAACTGACAACTACTATTATAAACTGGAATTAATACCGAAAAATAATAATAAAATAGAACATAACCTATAATTAACTGCATATATAAGCAAAATAATTATGAGGAACTAAAAACTTATGAACGAATATTTTCTCTATTACTATTTACTCTTAAATTTATGATTATGAAATACGCTACATATTAACAAAAATTACGATTAACTAAATATTTCGCTATTTAAGAATTTTTCTATTAACTTTTATACAATATTACGATTATCATGCATACTTAAAACATAATCTGTTGTTAGCAAAAGAACTATGATTTCTGCAGAAATATGCAATAATAAAAATAGTTTGAATTAAATGCAGTGTTAATAAATCAAAAGAAGAGCAGAGTTAAGGAAATGCTTTCGAAACAGAAAATAAAAGAATTGAAGATAAATTCATGCAGTTGAGCGAGATAAAAAAGAGATATAGTTGCCATGTGAAAAAAAATTTAAATAATAATTTTTAGTACACGCAAGCTATTTCGCTCTTGCATCTTTAGGGTAATATTTCATAAAAAAAGAAAATAATTGTAAAATTAATTTTTTTTTTATTAAAACAAATTTACTTGTTACTGATTCAATGCATTGTGCTTCATAAAATATATTATATAGTCAAATATATGCCGCATATTTTCATTATTTATAATTTTTTGTTAAAAAATACTAAAATTAATTTTTTATAATTAACAGCTTAAATGAATCAACATTTTTTTTAACACCCCTCTGCCTTTTTTATATTAAAACACGCAATAAATGTGCAAAATATTAAAATCAACAGAAATACTGCGATAAAAGCTTAATTAGTTAAACATTTTCTTCAACTTTTTGCAATTAAAATCAAGTGCCCGTTCAATAAAATTTGTATGCCTTCTTTTTTAATTTTTTTTCAAGTACCTACATGCATTTAACTATATAAATAAATAATTTAAATAGAAATATTAATTCATAACTGCAATTGTTTCAACTAACGTATGTTTAATTAACGTAATTACTACTAATTAATAAGAAAGTCATTTATAATTAAGTTGCATTTTTTTTTTTAACACACAAATAAATATTTTGCTTGAAATTTGCAATAAAAAATAATAATTTGATAATTTTCAACTTCTTTGTTAATTTTATTTTTTTTTTTTTTGTTTTCTTGGTTTGCATTTGATAATTTAATTTGTTGTTAATTTTAACTAAAAAACTGTTAAATTTTCTTGATAAAAATGTATTTTTATATTATAAATATTTTCCTAAATACTTTTTCTCAACTACCACCATTACCCACAAACGTTTTTCTCTTCCACGAATTTGCGTTTAAAAATAGTTATTTCAGTTTCCGTTAAAAAACATTCAGAAACATTTTCCAAAAATGCAATTTTCCATTTTACAAAAATTTTAGATATTTAATTTAATACTTGAAAATATTGTCTTTGCAATTTTTCTTTCTAATTAATTCTTTACAAAATATTTTTTAAAATTGTTTATTAATTTTTTTTTGTAATTTATTTTCTTATATTCATTCTAATTGATTCTTCATAAAATATTTTTAAAATTTATTTTTTATTTAATTTTTTTTCAATTCTTCTTTTAATATTTTTTCTTAAAAAAAATTAAAAAAATAATTTCCCTTAAATGTCTTAAATGAACATAGTTGCCTTTACTTTGCTATACACACACAGCCACACACCCACACATATACATATTGCTGCATCTAGTTCTCTTAATTTAACCAGCAAACGAATCAAAATATTTTTCATGAAAATTAGCCTTTAATTATTATAATCCGTTAAGTGTCTATTCTAATTGCTTAACTCAAAATAAAAATAAAAACGCAATCACAATGCATCAAAGCAGTTAACAAAAACCAAAATAATGAAAATTTCTAAAGCGAAAATTTAAAACTAATAACTGTAAACTACTGCCGCTGAATTTTAAACTTTTGTGTGTCTAAAAATGCCGCGAAACATATTTCGTAAAGAAGCTGCGCAAAAAAACTAGCAAAATCAATCAATTACGCAAAAGAAAGCGCGGAAATCCTATGAAATATATATATGTTTATATTTAAATTGCAATATTGAAAACATACATACTTAAATACATACATATCGGTACGCCAGTTTGAAATTTTACAAACAAACATACATACATATTTAAATTAAGCAATAATTTCTATAAAACAAAAACAATAATAAAATTAATTTGTTAGCAACATTTAAGTTTCTCAAACAAAAAAAAAAGCTTTTTACGCTGAAAAAAATTTATTATTTTGCTGAATTAAAATAATTTAAAATTTTTAAAGTGAAAAATTATTTAGCGAAAACCAACATTATCCCATAACAAACAAGCTACTCAACTGCGCGCTCGAAAAACAATAGCAACAAAAACAACAAACACGCTTCTAAGCCTAACATCTATACTTTAAAACTGCAAACACTGTTAAAAATATTTGTGAGTTATGCATAAATTATTTGTGTTAAGCGCTAGTGTGAAGATTAATATAAAACATTATATACATACATATATACATATTAATAGTAGCAAACAACTAAAAAAAAAAATTATAACGTAAGCAAAAAATTAAAGCATAGAAAAATAACTGTAAAAGAAGCAAACAAAAAATTAAATGTAAACAGTTAGAAAAGTGTCCACTTCGAACGCATAACAACCGCAATTTACATATGTTTATACACATACATACACATATAATTACATAATTCACACGACATGCTTGTATAATTACATACATACCGATATATGTATATATGTTACATAATTATGTACATTATAAATTGTGTAGCGAAAATCGTCAGAAAATCAGTCGCGCAAAGATAAGAATTTTCTTTTACCATACACACACTCACAAACACACCCAAACGCATACAATACACACACACACGTATGAGATGGAAAAAATACAAGCTGCTCTTCTTCTTACAACAAGAAAAATAAAATATTATTCAATTGTGAAGCATATTTACTTACGAAATCGTAAAAAAAAATATATATATATATACAAGCATATATATCTATATATATGTAAAACTTTATATATATATACTTGTATGTATAACTAGCAACTAATTTAAAAAATTTTCTTTACAAATTTGTCTTTCCAATTATGATTTTTAAGTTTAATATTAATAAATGAATTCTCGATTTAATTTTCTTCCCAAAATATACATACATACATCTGATTACACATTGAATTATGGGTAAACATTTTTTTTTTGTTTTTGCTTTTCACTTAAGCGTTTTAGAGTTTGATAGTTTGTAATGCTAAATGTACTGAAAGAAATTGGTTTTTCATTTGCAACAGAATGAGTATAACAATAAAAGTAATAAGAATTATAATAACAACAACAACAACAACAACAAGAACAAAGATTATGATAAACGTGAAAACAGTAAAGGCATAAAGAAGAATAATTTCATTAATAAAATGGAAAAACTGTAACAAAAAATGCAAAGTGTTCTCATTTAACAATGGCTTATAGCGAAAGAGAGAAAGAGGGAGAGGAAGAAAGCGACTGGTAGATTATGAGTTATATCTACAACTATCAAATTTCATGAAGATATCTTGGCAAATAAAAATTTTTTCATACAAGCATTTGAAGTCAGTTAGAATGAGAGCGATATGCGAGGTCTAAATAGGGCCACACAAAAGCAGAGGAAGTGTTCCAGCGTCTCCCACATACGGCATACATACATTATACAACCCTAAAGTTTTCGGTAGAATTGAGGAAGTCAGAACAGAATAATTAAGGATAAAAAGCATAGAAGGATATAGCGCAATTAATTTTTCAACACGAGCACTGCACGTATTAAACCGGATTGCTAATTATAAATGGTCCATGAACAATATTTATCAAAATAGTAATATAGAACTTTATTTTCTAATTCTTGTAATTGTTCTTAGATATTTAATAATAAAATTGTACAAACATATAGTTGTATAATTAATTCACCACACCAAATATCACCGGTCTTATCCCAAGCACCACCTGACCACATCCCTCTTCAACGATTTAAAGACCAGTTGTTATAAACTCGATTTCATGAACGGCTTCAAGTGTTGTTCAAATGACGTGGGAACGTCTTTCTGGTTTAGCGGACTCTTCTTAGCCGCCTCGAAGATACGTTCGTAGACATTACCATCGTAACAACCTAAAACGGAACTCAAGACTTTATCATGAAAATCGAAACCATCACAAATAGCAACGAGATTCGGACGTAGCTCAGCGAGCACTATTTCGAGGCGATGCTGTAGTGAGGTCAAATGATCGTCAGTCAGATGAATGAACTGTAAATATTAAAAAAAAAAGTAAGTAATGAACTGAAAATCGAAGGTGACAATAATAACCCGCAATATGTCAGCCATATGCCGTTGAACCGTATGCACCAGATAGAGTTCGAGCAGATGCTCCAACAAATTATTCAGTGATGCAGAGCGTTTTTCTCTATTTTGCTTAACTTCTTCGAAGAATGTGTTGGCCACGAAGGCGCGCCCATGAAGCTGCAAGAAAAGTAGTAAAAAGAATTTGATTAGCAAATTTAAGTTATGATGTGATGTCAGATGGTGTCATGTGATGTGGTGAAATGTGCCGGTGATTGATTGTATAAAAATAGTATAAAAGTAAATTGTATTATTGCATTAAAAATATAAGAACTGATGTAGTCATATAATGTGATTTGAATAAACGACGTGATGTGAAGTAAAAAAACTTAATAAAAAAATACCATCACGTGATGAGATATAAAAATAGTAGGAAAATTGAATGAAATGAGAAGAAGTGTTAAAGTGTGTTTTTAGTAAGTGCAAAATTTCAGATCGATAGCTTAAAACTGAGGGACTAGTTTGTATATATACAGACAGACAGACGGACATGGCTAAATCAACTCAGTTCATCATGCTGATCATTTTAATATGTAATTTATGGGGTCTATGGCGTTTCCTTCTAGGTGTTACAAACTTCGTGACAAACTTATTATACCCTGTTCAGGGTATAAAAAAAAATTAAGTAATGTTACAAGCGCTATTATCAGAAGTCATGTGATAAAGTGCATATGCATGAAATGGCATGCTTCAAAATTAAAGTGATTGCACTCAGTCTTAAGCCCACTTTTAATTACCTCAGCCGCTTGAGTCAGCTCTATACCAGTTACGTTGAATGCCTCCGGAGGAGATAAGCCACTCTCCAACCGTCTAGTGTAACTTTTACTAGCGATGCGGGTTTTACTAAGATAACAACAAAATATTAAGAGATATATAAACTCCAGAAATAATTATAATAAGCTTACTTAGTAGCCGCATACTGCAGAGCCTGCACCAAGCATTGCCAATCGCCGGTCCAATCCCGAAACTTGTGCCAACTGGCGCAAACACTCAAATATGCCATGGTAGGCATCAGCGGCCTGCCATTTAACATATCGCCCCAAGTTTTCAACAAAATCTTACCAACTTGTAGATACAATACCGAATTCTCACCCTCATAGGTGCAAGCCGCTGTGGCCCAGGTGAAAATGTTGCCGAAATTGGCCGAGGCCAAATAACCATGGCCGCCGCAAGCGAGTCGCAAACGCTCAATACCAAATGTTGAATCATACGTGCACGACGCTTTCAAGGTGCAGGCCAAGGCATGCAGCTCCGGTAGCCGCGAGTAATCGCTGAGGCTGACAGCCAAAGCGGTTTCTTCATACATTTTGTTGAGCTTAACACCGGCTAAACGATAAGCAATAGCCGTAACAATCTCTGGCACAACTTTCATCTGTTGCGTTACGTGATCCAGCACTTGCGGTTCCGGTGCACTATAAGTCAAGAGGTCAAGATTAAGTTCAGAGATGGCGATAAAATAGAGGCGCTTACTCCGGTTGAATGGGACTTTGACGTCGAACAGCCGAGTAGCGTGTCGCTATGGTCGCCGCCATTGCATGTAAACCGCTATTGACCAACACAATCATACAGCGTACATACACCATGGGGAAGTAGGCCAACTGTGAGACTGGAGACTTAACAAAAGTGCCATCCGGCTGGACTTTGGCATTCTTCATAAGCATATTTGTACGTGGTATGCGCACATTGGTCAAACCCAAATAGCCGTTATTCACGGCCTGCAAACCGATCTTCTTGCCAATATCACCGATGTCAATGCCCGGCAGTGGCTTATGTGTTTGCTCATCACGCACCTGCAAGACAAATAACTGCAAGCCCAATGGCTCGTCATCGATATAGAGCTGTGCCACCACAATGCAATGGTTGACGGTGTTACCCACTGATGGAATGGCAAGGTTGCAGTAAGAATTTTAAGACTTGAGAGAAGGCTATTTAATACTCACAACCACCGGGCCACCATTTGTAAGAGGTCAGTTTTGGTGTGTTCAACACGAATTCATCGGTTTGGCGATCATAGTCAGCACGTGTTTCCAATCCTCGCAGATAAGTACCGTGACCGAGCTCCGTTTGCACATAAGTACCGAAAATCTCGCAGTCATCTGCTCGACGCCCAAATTTCTCATACTGCTCGGGTGTACCCTGATTTTTAAGCGCACGTGTGAACATTAGAAAGTGCACTGACATCGGAGTACCGCCGGGCATCAGAGTCGTACCCATTGGTCCAGTCATGAGAGTACTTTTGAAATATATAGAGATATACAATGTTATTAAAAACGAGCCTGTGAGGATTAAGAAAGTGTTTATAAATTAAGAACATAATATATTTAGCTCACAAAAAGGGGTAGCTCATAAAATCAAAAGATTTCCAAAAACTTGGATTAGAAAATTATTTCTTTAATGGCATTTTTAGTCAAGTTATAAGACAGTCTATGTGAAATTGAACATTTTGTAGTTTTAAACATCTTGCTGAAGTGCAGAAGTCTCTCGTGACTTATCTAAAATGAGCCTTGCTCCTTTTCAACATACAATATTTCACGTAAATCTATTATCAAGACAAATCGTACATGCTGTGTTCGTACAGTTTCCTTAGTAATATCGGGTACTTTACTAAGCCTACATATCTACTTACTGATAAACCTCAGCACCGCCAGGGTTCACGCGCTCTTGCATAGCTCTTACTTTATTAATTGCGTCTACGGATTGCTTAACTGTACGATTGTAGACATCTTCGTACGACAGATAATCCAATTCGATAGGATCGGGCAAGTCTGCAAATAGTTCCTTCTCTGAAAAAAAAAGGGTTTCAGGGGTTATAGCCACTTTTGAATTTCAAGAAATCGATTATATTTTTTTTTATTTTTTTCTTTCGGATGTACATTTGATGGATTTGAGAGCGATTTGATAATTATTAGCATGTATTATACAGTATATGTACATATGTATATGCTTTTGAGCAAGTTTCAGACTTTTTGACTACTGTAGCGTTTTATCAAGCCGAGGCTGCTGCCATTAAGGTAGTGGTAGATTTGCAGTTCTGCATTGCAGCCTCCTTCAGAGAAGTAACTATCACCTTGTATAGCAGGGAGCTCACTAATCGTTTGTTCAAGGCTGGTTAAGAAATACCTTATCCAGTTATTAGCAACAGGTCATTGCCCTATCGGCGTCCACACTGGACTGAAGGTTGAGAATCTTACCGGATGCCAGCTGCAGAAGCTGTATAGAAGAAGAAGAGGTGACAACGTCTCAACACTTCCTTCTTGACTGTCCTGCGTTTGCGAGATCAAGGCTTAAACACTTGCAAGCTCACATTTTGAGATATCCCACTTAGGCTAAAGACACTTTGTTGACTTATAAGCTCGGACACAGATTTCCCATTTTATAGCTTCACAAAGGACTACATATAGTGGTTCAAGTATGATCTGAATCTTGAGAAATTTCTTTTCTCACTATCACCTCATCTCTAACTTTTATTCTCAGTCAAACAAACATTAAATAATTATACACTAAATTTATATATTTTTATAACAACAACAAAATTGATTCTCCTATCGAATTAATGCAAGCAAAAATGAGAAGGAAGAAAGCAAATCAACAAAACAAAAGCCAAGCCGGATTTAAATTTGGAAATTAAAGTGGCAAAGCCGCATATCGGTTCTTAATTACATGACTTGCGTTTTACATATTGTACATGTACATATGTATATATGTTTTTATGTACGTACACACACGTATTTAAGTCGTTTTGGCATACAAAATTTCGATAATTAAAGTCTGTGTTGTTGACTTTCGGCAACAAACAGAGTGCATACATATATATTTGGTATATGGATATTTACGCGTGGCATACATATGTATGTACCTTAATATTTACTCCGTATCTAGAACTTTTTGAGTAAAGGTTAAGAATTCAATTACTTCACTTCACTTTTTAGAAATAAATTACTTTTATTGCCCGCGATCATCTACAAAGTAAGCGCTATAAACACCTTTTATAAAGTCTCAAAGCTCAATATTGCAAATCAACGGCTACTAATACGTCTTTTTTTTAAAATACACCATGAGGCTAAGCAAAAATATGGCATTGTGAGTAAAGAGAAAATAAACCAACACACATATATGATAACACTTACAGTAATGAGTCCGTGCTTACAAAGTCCTCGTTGGCTTGGTTATTTTCCTAAGTTATTTTAGCAAGTTCATCTAATAAAAACTTAATGCATTTAACAGTTAACATTTTGAGCGGCTGAAAGTATTGGTCAGAGATGTGAGAAGGTAGAGAACTTTCACTTACATACACCTCTCTAAAAAATGTTCAACATGAAAAAAGTGAAGTATATCATATTGATAGCTGAAAAGAGATGAACTTGTCTCTACACGTTTCTTGTGGATCTACGTTATTTACAGAAAGTACGTCGAGATCACAAAAGAGACATTGATCTAAGAAATAAAAAATAAAAAATTAACAACGTGTTTGCTTGAAACTTTGTGTTTACAATGGAATGGCGACTACGAAATCGTTGAAAATGTGTTAGAATCATTTTGATTGGCAGCAAGCATTCTGTGAAGTCTTCGAAAACTTGCCTCAACCGAGTCGTCCATCCACCACAGTGCTTGAAAATCGACGTGTTGGCATCAGAGAGATAAAGCAGAGGATCTCAACATACCTTATGGATCAATTCAACGGATGCTTGACAACGTAGCTGAGGACACTACATTCATCAAATGCATCATTACTGCTGACGAGACGTGAATTTATATGTATGGCCTCGAACCTGTCCAACAATCTAACAAATGAAGCTACAAAAGTGAGCCGAAACCGAAAAACCCAAGGTGATGCTGGTGGTCCTATGAATTCGTTTCACATTGTCTAACGGTCAATAAGACATACTACTGGGGCGTTTTGAGACTCATCGTGCAACGACCGGATTTGTGGGCAGAAAATTTATTGATTTTCCACCACGATAATCCGCACACACATTGTAGTATAACTGTTGTCCCAATTTCTTATCGTTTCGGTTTCGCGCGCACAGTTCAATTGGACCAGTCCGGGTCCAATTTGATCAGTTGGTATATACAAATCTGGTGGTTCCTTTCTAAACCAAAAATAAACCGTTACTCGCAAGAAGAAAATTTCATACAAGCATTGAACAAATCACCATTCACACAATTGTAGTATGTTAATCTAAATCAAAAATCAATTCCAAATCTTTATATTATATGTATGTAAGTATTACATTAAATACCGCTCGTAATTAACTAATTGCTTATAAATGATTTAACACAAAGTCCAATAATATTTTTATGAACTTATTACGGAAGTAGGTCTACTGTTGTATTATATAATATTAGGTGAAGTAAAAAAGTTCGTTCGGTTTTTATTGATTTTTCAAAAGATGATAACTTTGTGTACATTTGTCCGATTTAAGTCAAATATGCGCCGTTTTGTTCGTAAACTTATTGCCAAAGAGATGCCAATTTCATTATACCCCGTTTGTAGAAGGCGTTCGCCATGGACAGGAAAAGAGGGTAATCACTTGGCGCCAGGTCCGGTGGTGCATTAGGACCTCCCATCCGAGCTCCCGGAGTTTTTGGCGCGTCACCAAAGACGTGTGTGGCCTGGCGTTGTCCTGATGGAACACAATTCGGCCTCTGTTGATCATAGATGGCCTCTTCTGGATGAGTGCTGCCTTCAAACGGTCCAGTTGTTGGCAGTAGAGGGCCGAATTGAGCTTTTGGTCATAGGGGAGCAGCTCGTAGTAGATGATTCCTTGCCAATCCCACCAAACACACAGCAAAACCTTCCTGGCCGTCAATCCGGTCTTGGCCACTGTCTGGGCCGCTTCCCCGAGCTTTGACCGCGACCGTTTGCGCCCGATGTTGTCGTCAGTGACCAATTTTTCATCGCCAGTCACAATCCGCTTCAGAATCGGGTCGATTTTGTGGCGATTCAGTAGCGATTCGTAGATGGAAATTCGGTCCATCATGTTTTTTTGCGTTAGTGCGTGTGGCACCCAAACATCGAGCTTCTTTTTGAATCCAAGGTTATGCAAATGGTTCCAAACGGTTTTCTGGCTTATCTTTAGTTCCTCAGCAATTAAATAAGTGCTCACGTGACGGTCTGTTTCCACTATTTCCATGATTTTATCGCAATTTTCGACGACAGGCCTCCCGACGCGTGGTGCATCTTTGACATCGAAATTACCGGAACGGAACCTAGCAAACCACTTTTGTGCTACACGTTAGTTTACAGTATCGGGCCCATAAACTAAATTAAGTTTTTCAGCCGCTTTGGCTGCTTTTTCGCCTTGATCGAAGAAAAATTGTAAAATATGGCGAATTTTTTCTTTGCTGGTGTCCATCTTTGACGAGCGCTCACAACGTACTGAGTCAATCAATCGAAAAACTGTCAAAGACAAACTTTTAGCGCGAATAACACGTTTTTAGCGCCGTATAGTATGACATGATGCGACACGTAACACTAGTACTATGGTCAATAACGCCATCTCTTAGATAAAAACCGAACGAACTTTTTACTTGACCAATATAATAAAGATTTGTATATATATCCCGTAATTATCCACTGATTATGATATATGTATCATTTCGTAAAGTATTTGAACTAGTTATCACTTTCATAAAACCTTTTAATTAGAGCTTCACTTAGCAAAAGAAACCAAATGCAATTTGCCATTGTATGCAACAACAATACTAACAGCATCAATAAATACTAGAGCAAATGCATTAAATCAATATACATATGTATATATATCTCTGATGCATAGTATAATATGGTATTTACAGCGCATTGCACTCGCTATTTTCTTAATTAGCAACTCACCAGCTAATCTTTTCAATTGCAAGAAACTTTCACCATCATGTATAAAAGCGGTGAATTCCTCCACATCGAAAGTGGCCTTCTTGCGTTCATTCACCAAGTCAGGATTAACATGTTTTGGTATGGTCATTTTTAGGAACTAATTTTTTGGCACAACTTTTTTTAACCGAATTTGTATTAAAATAATCACAAACAAACCACACGTCGAATGCACTAAACCCGCCTCGAACGATCACCAACAGTCTACTACGGATAACAGAGTTCGACTGACTGGGTAGTTGGCTGCTTTGAGATCGTTTATTGTGCCTGATGTTGCTCAACCAGAGAACGTAAATGATCATTTATTTTCTCTGGCTCTACGATATAAATATATGTATGTATTTTGTGTCGATATTTGGAGATACTTAAAATTCTCTTAGTTTTTTGGAGATCTACGAGTGCACCACCAAATGTTGTGACTCTTCTCCTCTTTATATTATATGTACTACTTGTATATATGTATGTATAATAGTAAACTACGAGTAATTGCATTAACAAGTTTTTAAAAGAGAAAAGCATTGACATTCAAATTTTTGCATAGGTTTTTCTATCTTCAAGCGACCTTACTGCTACTGGGTGCCAGTTCACAAAGGTATCGAGGGTAACTATACAGGATCGGGGAACATGACGGACATTGGTAAACCCATGCATTGATATCGTTAGTTAGGAAAGAATCTGTTAAAGTTCGCGTCAAGCGCTGATATCTTAAAGAATGACTAATACTCATGGACTACGCGATGGCCCTCTATCTGGTATCGCTAAGAAGCGAAACTGGTCTAATCGTGGCTTACTTATATATATGGGGGCCACAAAATGATATCTCAAAATCTCTTCTCTCGAGGCAATTAAGTACTTTCAAACAGTTTTCAGAGCTCACAAAGTCTGCACCCGTACCGAATATAACTGCCTGTTAATAGCTATAACCCTTTATGACTAAGCTTCGTAGATGATTTCGAATAACTAAGGTAAACTATCCCGTATAGTATAGGGAGGTGGCAAACAGACCGCATTTACCAGGCAACAAAACCATCATCCAAATTACTTACTATCCGAATTTCCATCCATGGACGTATATAGATTATTTTATATAACGATGACCTTTCCTATTTGGAGCATTCGAATATCCTGTATCAAATCCCTATATTGTATGATTTTTGCATATTTTTTTCAGATTTTTAAAAACAACAACCTTGAACGAATTATTTGCATCAATTTTCTTCAAACTTGCAGAGACGACATATTGGATGATTATCAACGAGATGTCAATGTAACCAATTGACACTATTCGCTAGGTATTTCTCCACTGACATATAATACATAGGTTAATGACTTCCAATATATAACAATAATCCTTCACATCAATTCCTTCTTCAATTAAAATATATTTTAAATAAACACAAATTAAGGCATAACGGAAGGCAAAGAACGAAAAGCGTTGGAAGAGTCAATAATCGTGGTATGTGTCTTGGCTAACTTGAAAATACAAATAATTAATTTTTAAAGAAATATTTTATGTCACATTGATTTAATTAAAAAAATTTAATTAATTTAAAAAACTGCATATATTAAATCATTAACAAAAATACGATACAAATAGAAACACGTTCTCTGATAGAAATGACCGGCTATAGCATTCTTACATCTGGCAGCACAAAATATTACTGACAACTGTCAATGGTGGTTTGCGTGTGGAACGCAAGCAATTTGCGCTAATTTACAAATTTTTTTGTAGACAGTTGTAAACATTCGAGAAATTCCCCGATTACAAAGCAAAGCTGCAAGTGAATTTCAAAAACTTTTAATGTAAAATACAAGTTATTGGACTTAACAAATGTTCTAAAAAAGTTTAAGAACTTCGTAGCAATGGTGAATGTTATGAAAGGTGTATTTGTTGAATGTGATCCGGCTATGAAACAATTTCTTTTGCATCTCGACGAAACGCTTGCATTGGGACGCAAATTCATCATACAAGATTTGGATGAGAATCATCTGTTTATTTCTACCGACATTGTAGAAACTTTGCAAGCACGTGTGGATGATTTAATGGACCGCATAAGTTTTCCGCTGCATGAAAAAGATCCCTAAATTAAAAATATAATTAACTCTAAATATATAAGACAAGTCATTCTCTATAAGCCAACCTACATTACAAAAAAAAAAAAAAAACTATGACCGGACGCGAGTCCAATCGTATAAAAGATGCGGAGAAAAAACGTGTGCTTGATGAAGCTGCGCGACAACGGCGCGCACGCAAGGCGCTTGAAGCACTCGAGCAAGATAATTTCCATGAAGATCCACACGCAGATTTGGTGATGTCAAAGAAATTGCCGAAATTTCAAGATGGCATCAAAAACACCAAAGAGAAGAAAAGCAAACGGAAAGGTGCCGAATACTACCGGGCGAAGTATCGTAAAAATTTTCCACAGCTCTTAGAAGAATGTAAGCAGAACTCTACAGATGCGCCAAACTACTTGAATGCTTTGGCACCGGCACCAAATAAGCCGCCACGTCGGTTCTGTGCAGTTTGTGGTAATTTTTCAAAATACACTTGCACCGCGTGTGGCACACACTACTGCTGTATTCGCTGTCTGGGCACACATCAGGATACGCGTTGTCTCAAATGGACCGCTTGAAACTTTCTTTTAAGTATAGAATTTTATTGGATTACATAGTTACATTGGGGGTTTTATGATGGTAAATATAATTTCGTTGGAAATATGAAAAGCGCATTTTAATTATTTTGCTATTATCTTTTTTTTACAGCAGATGAAGATGAGAAAAATATTGAAGTATTAAAATATATATGAAACTACAAACAAGTCTTCAAGCAAAAATAAAGAATTTGAAAATATAAATTTTATGTTCAAGCGTCCTTGTGCGAAAAGGTAAATTTTTGTTTAGGACCAGAAATTGTAATAGAGCTCGTGCAAGTCACATTTAAAGTATCTGAAGGACCATTTTTAATGATATGTAGAGTAGGAAGTAAGGAAGTTATATATATATATATTAATATATATATATATAAGGGTATATGTGTATATAAATGATAAGATTGACGAGCTGAATCAATTTGGCCACGCTGGCTAGTCCCTCAGTTTTGGAGATATCAATTTGAAATTTTGCACATGTCCACATTAAATACATACCTAATTGGTAAAAACCATTATTTTAAGCGAAAACTTTGACTTACTTAAGTGAATTGACAGTTTGTTTTTTTTAACGAAAAGTTTTACTGAGGAGAAGCTGTATACCTTTTAATTTTTTACATAAATGCAGAACAGAAATTTTATTAGAAAATTAAAATTTCTAATTATTTCCAATTTAGCTCAAACTTAAACTAAAAAGTTAATATTTAACTAATTTGAAAATAGTTTTTTTTTAAATGGATTTCTTGCTCCTTCTAAGTTTTGAGTCGTACTAACTTGTATCCGGAGCAAATGTTGTTCTAGTTGGCAACACTTTTATATATTAACTATCTAATTGATTTCAGCAAGTTTATATTTGTATTACAGAAGAAGAGTTATATGAAAATAAGCACAACGTTCAATTGAAATGTTGATTTTTTAAACTCAAATCTTACTTGTTGAATTTTTTTCCTGGTTAGAAGTAAAAACACATATTTTAAATAATTTAAACTTCTAATAAATGTTAAAATGTCCACATTACAGTTTATAGACTGTTTTGACATATGTCCCACCAGTCACAGTTTAGTTTAGTGAAATTTATTTTTAAGTCTACCGTGGTAAAAGAGGAGGATTTTCGATATTCCACAAGTCACACTCATTTAAGTGATAATTACAAGAAACTCAGAAAAAAATCAAGGTTTTTTAGTAAGAGATATTATTAATTAGTTATTTCTCTATATTATGAGATACATTTGACTATAATTTTATAGCTTATAATTAGTCAATGTCTGGAGTCAAATGCCCCACCAGTCACCATGGAATGCCCCATAACAATTCTTTCAGACCAAATATAAATATTTAAAAATATTATATGAAAAAAGAAATTTACAAATTTGACTTCAAGAATGGTTTCAAAATCTTTTCAAAAGAGTCAGGCACTGGTTTTTGATTAAGCGGACTTTTCTTTGCCGCCTCCATCAAGCGCTCATACACATTACCATCGTAGCAACCTAGAGTTGAGTTCAATACACGATCATGGAAATCAAAACCATCACAGATGCACACAGCATCTGGACGTAATTTCTTCAAAGATACTTCCAAACGATTTTGTAGTGAACGCAGATTAGCATCGCTGATTGTAGTAAACTGTAAATGAGACAAGCAATAAGTAAAAAGTTAAAAACTCTAACTTCTAATCTTGAAAGTTAATTTACCCGGAGAATATCGTGCATGTGACGCTGCACAGTTTGCACTAGATATAATTCCAAAATATTCTGTAATACGGAATTTAAAGCTTTAGAACGTTCAGTAGACTTTGTGCCAGTGATTTGATCTAAAACAACTGAAGCGACGAATTGACGTCCATGAAGCTATTTAGGGAAATATTAGAAAATTTATTAGAAAATATACACGTTTACAAAACGTAAATTATTAAAATTTCTTACTTCGGCTGCTTGCGTCAATTCAATGCCTGTGTTGTTGGCTGCCTCCTCGTTTGTTTGACCTTCGGCCACACGTTTGGTTAGATTCTGGAAAGCAACACGTGTTTTACTGTAATAGAAACAAATATTGGTTTCATTTTATAAAATATTTTTTTATACCTTGAGCAAGGTAAATATAAATATATTATATACTATTTGCCAGCAAATTTGTAACAACCAGCTGTACAAAGTGAACGATCAAAATCAATTCCTTGTGTGTAAAACTTATATATTGTCAACAAACTGCTTCGGTGCGACCGAAGTTGACGTTATTTCTTGTTTTTTTTTTGCCAAATTACTTACTTTGTCGCTGTAAACTGCAACAACTTAACCAAATACTCCCAACTGTCATTCCATGGTGACATGTCATGTTTGCCATACATTTCCGCCAAATAGGCAACCAGCGGCGGCATTTGCTTGCCTTGTGTTAACTGTAACCAGGTCTTAACTAAATAGCGACCCACTTGCAACAACAGCACTGTATTTTCGCCCTCATAAGTGTATGCAGCAACGACATTGCCATATAAAGTACTGAAATTGGTCGATGTCAAATAGCCATGACCGCCACAAGCCAAACGTAGACGTTCAATACCGAAAGAACCATCGGTACTTGAAAGTACTTTTAGACTACAAGAAATGATATGCATGTCCGTCATACGACTATAATCGCCATTGGTAATCTGTTTTTGCGTCAGTTCATACATCTCCCACATATAGCGTATGCAAAGACGATAAGTTATGCCGTTTGCTATTTCTGAGAAGAGTTTTTGTTGCTGCGTCACATGATCGATGATTTGCGGTTCTGGTTCGCTACAAAATATTTATTTATGAAGAGAATACTAAATATAAAAATATTTAGATCTATATAAAATGTGTGCTTACTTGGCATTAATCGGACTTTGTCGTCGCACCGCCGAATAACGTGTAGCTATGGTGGCTGCTTGCAGCAGCGAATTAGAGGTGATATCGACTATTAAACAACGTGTATACACCATAGTCATATAGTTTAATCTTGACGCAGGACTAGCAACAAAACTGCCATCCGGCAAGACTTTCGCATTACGCATTAGCATATTTGTACGCGGTATGCGTACGTTTTTGAAGCCCAGAAAGCCTTGATTCACCCCGGCCATGCCAAATTTTCTGCCAATCTCACCAATATCCACACCCGGTAGCGGCATATGCGTCTCCAAGTCGCGCAGCTGCACTATAAACATTTGTATGCCATGATGTTTGCCATCGATGTAGAGTTGTGCCACCACCATGGCATGGTTGGTGGTGTGACCCACTGCAAAATATAATTTCAACAATTTTATAAGCAGAAAAAATTACTTTAGAGTTATTTGCATGCACTCACATCCACCCGGCCACCATTTGTAGGCCTGCACATTGGGTGTGTTCAAGACAAATTCATCGGTTTTCCGATCGTAATCGGCGCGTGTTTCAATGCCGCGCACATTGGTGCCATGCGCCAGTTCGGTTTGTGCATAAGTGCCGATTATATTGCAGTTGGCTGCTGGTTTGGCAAACTTTTCGATTTGCTCCGGTGTTCCTTGATTGAAAAGCACATCGACAAACATGGTGATATGCGTTGCAAGGGGATGATTAGCGGGCATCATAGCTATCGCGGTATGGCCATAGAGCAGCTTGCTGAAAACATAAATGTTATATGAATATATGTAATTGTCATACTTGATGCTTGGATGGTTGTCTAGTGCGCTTACGGCCAAATGTCATTGCCGCCCGGATTGCGTATTTGTTGTAGTTTACGTAGTTTTTCTGCTGCCTCCGTAACATCCTTTACTGCCAAGTGGTAAACATCTTCATGTGAAAGGTAGTCGTGTAGGTGACCATCTCTGAGATCCTTATAAAGGTACGTTTCTATAATTAGATTATAGCTTGAGTGAGTAATTATATGTAACGTAAACGTAAGTACAGTATATATATTGTTTATTTTTTGCCAATATAAAATATGTGTAATGTTAAGGAAATGACCTTACCGGATATATATTTACCCTAAGATAGTTTAAGCTGAGTCAATTTAGCAATGAACGTATGTCTGTCTGTTAATAAGCGCGCTAGTCCCGCAGTTTTCGCGATATTCGACCTGACATTTTGCTAACGTCCTTCTCTCTTCAAGAAACTGCCCATTTGTCAGAATCGTCGATATCGAATTACTATAGCATATAGCTGTCGTACAAACTAACCGATCCAAGTCGAGTCCTTGTATGGTAAACTTTTTTATTTGGCAAAATATTTTTTCTACAATCTCTAAATATATTGTGCCGTTCGGACAACTATAGCATATAGCTGTCATACAAACTGATCGATTAAAATCAAGTTCTTGTGCGAAAAACTTTTTTATTTGAGAAGATATCATCACGAAGTTTGGTATATAGTATTAGCCTAGGCAACGGTGTAATCTCCGAATAAATTGAGCTGCCATACAAACTGACAGTCGAAATGAACGTGTTTTTTTTTTTGTTTTATGTAAGCTTATTCTATCTTGCTCCAAAACTTTATGAGTTACCCACGTACACAATTATTTAAGTACATTAAATTTATAAAAAAATTGCTTATCACATTTCGACTTTGTAATTATAAAAACCCATTTGATTATGATAATGATGATCAGCTGAGTCAATGTGCAAATGATTTTATATTTACACGTATTTAGTATGTTTCTTATTAATATAAGCCAGCATGTTGAAAAACAGTTACACCGAGATATCGAAACTTTAATCTACTTTTTTATGGTTTGAAGAAATAAAAAAATGCTTAGATTTGTTTACAGTCATTTTGCGACTGTGATTTTAAATGCTGTTTCATGCTAATTTTGAGTTGCTAAAACCGAAAATGATAATACAAATTTCCTAATACGTAGGATATTTTGTGTTGTAGTTAAGAGATGTAGCGGTCAAACCACCACCATTTACTAAAATGATAAAAATAGCTTGAAGTGGTGGAAAATTTTTGAACGTCCGTAAAATTCGTAATCAAGACATCTGAAATGAGTAGTGTTATTAATAGTTTATTTTATTTTAATTATTATTATTAATATTCGCTTATTTTGCTTTCTCTTACGCTAAATGATAGTTCACAAGCTACCGCTCTTACATTTCAATCCCGCTACCTCCCACCCGTTACACCTTTGACCCCGTCTTGTTGACTTACCGATTTCTCGTTTATCTTTCAATTTATCTGCGCCATCATGCCACCAGCACTGGAATTCTTCAACACTAAAGCTGGGTGACTTGCGTTCCTTCTCCAAATCGGGATTAACACGTGCTGGTATGAGACTCTTACTCATCGGCATTTTTAGTATTATTTCTAAAATATATTTTTTTATTGCGAATATTATATTTTATATGTGTAACTAAGATTATCACACACACGTCACAGAGTATTTGCGTACCACAACTTTATCTCTAACCACAGCTACTGACAAAGATAAAATAGTCGCCTAGTTAATACAAAAATATATTTTGTGTCAAAACAAGTTGAAGCTTTTTTTTTTTTAAACCCTCTCACAGACCATAAAACCAAACGATCATTTGCTGCTCTTTGCTCGTATGAAGTGTTAGAGAGTGTAATCTCTCGCGCTCTCTTTTAAAGCTTTCTTATCATTGCACTGATTGTATACTAATGTTGTTTTGAATAATGCATCCCCTCCGGGGACCAAAGTTTATTGTTTTTTTTTTTACCATATGCGAGCGTTGTATTAATTTGTGGTTTTGCACGTCAGCACGCTTAAGAATGCATTATCACTCACTTAAGTTTTGTTTTTGTAGTGTTTTGTTACAATATTGTTTTAATTTTATAATATTTTTTATACTTTGTATTTAATTTATATTTGTTTTTACGTTTACATTCATTATATAGGAATTAGTTTGTGGATTCTCAAATCTTATCTTGTACTTGGTTCTCATATAATTCTAATGACAAGCCAAAGTTCCATTTCACTTTTTATTTGATAATAATTTTGTAGATACGATTACGTAAAGTGATACTGAAATCTGCAGCAAAAAATTGTTTTTAATTTGTATAATTTACTCTAAGATAATAAGGTGATATCTAAAGGTGTTATCATTCTTGTTAGATACAATTTAACTTATATATAATATTAGTATTATTAGCAAATATCACATAAATCTGTTATTATATGGGGTCCAAAAGTCTTTTACCCTATATACGACCTTACTTGTTAATTTTTCCATTTCCGTCTGTCTGTCCGTCTGTCTGTATATATACAAACTAGTCCCTCAGTTTTTAGGCTATCGATCTGAAATTTTGCACCTGTCCTTTTCTCACAATATCGGACCACTATAGCATATAGCTGCAATACAAACTGAACAATCGGAATCAAGTGTTTGTATGGGAAACTCTTTCATTTGATGAGGTATCTTCACGAAATTTGGCATGGATTATTATTTAAGGCATTTATTTAATATCCGAAGAAATTATTCAGATCGGATGACTATAGCGTATAGCTGCCATACAAACTGAACAGTCGGAATCAAGTGCTTGTATGGAAAACTCTTTCATTTGACGAGGTATCTTCACGAAATTAGCATGGATTATTATTTAAGGCATTTATTGAATATCCGAAGAAATTATTCAGATCGGATGACTATAGCGTATAGCTGCCATATTAACTGAACCATCGGAGTAAAGTGCTTGCATGGAAGATTTGTTTATTTGATGAGGTATCTTCACGAAATTAGGCACGAGTTATCGCTTAGGTCAACAAATTATTCTCCGCAAAAAATGGGTAGATCAGATCACTATATCATATAGCTGCCATACAAATGGAACGTTCGGAATCAAGTTCTTGTAAGGGGCCTTTGTATTTGTGAAGGGTATTATAGCTTCGATGCAACCGAAGTTAACGTTTTTTCTTGTTTTAATATAAAGTGTACGTAGAAATATACCCGTTTTCAAATTTTTCTTGTCCGATTATGCCACTTTTAGAAACTACGTTTCCTGTATCTCACAAAGTCGAGAAATTTTATGCAAAAGAGACTACATGGAGCTCAAAACCTTATTTATGATATTATCAGATATACATATATAACATATTCTGCTTAAGCTAGATTTCCGCTCCTAAATAATGAAATTATTTCTTGTGTGTATTTTTTTTAAGTACAAACGATTTATTAAGATAATTTGAAAGCTTTTTACAAAACATATATACACACCGGTTTCAACCCAAACCATCTTCAACATTAATAATATTTACAAAAAATAACTTATAAATTAGATTTAAGAAAAGGTTTTAAAATTGTATGGAATGACTTTGGCACTGGCTGTTGATTCAACGGACTCTGTTTGGCTAGAGCAAAGAGACTCTCGTATACATTACCAGCATAGGAACCCAAGGTGGAACTCAAAGTGCAATCATGAAAGTCAAAGCCATCGACAATTGCCACAGCATCTGGGCGCAGTTTCTTCAAAGCTATTTCGAGACGAGTTTGCAGCGTGCGCAATTCAGCGTCGCTCAAGCTGATGCACTAGATCCAGATGAGATCGTGTTAGTAAAAGAAAGAAAACTAAATAATTTTCACATCAACCACCTGTAGTATAGCACTCAGATGACGTTGTGTTGTATGCACCAAATAGAGTTCCAAAAGGTTCTGCAGCACTCGATTGAAAGCAGCAGAGCGTTCTGCAGCTGCAGGACCCGTAACATGGGCCAGGAATGTCGCGGCAATAAACGAGCGGCCATGAAGCTGGAAAAATTTAAACGGCATAAAAGAATACATATCTAAATGCGGATATAAGAATATAGTAAAAATAAAATTTATCGTCTGGTATACGACATTTTGGGCCATGAATAAAAGCACCTATAAGTTTTATGCTGTTTGCAAATGGAGATAGTATATTATGAGAGAAGTATATTGAATCTCTAATGTAGGGATTTCACAGATTAAAACCCCTTGGGTCGCTTACTTCTTAATTAGCGGATGGTATTCACTTAGACCCTTATATCCTAAACACATACCTCTGCGGCTTGTGTCAACTCCAGGCCCGTATTGTTGGCCGCCTCTCCTTCGGTTTGACCCTGCTTCAGACGTTGTGACATATTTTCAAAAGCCAAGCGTACTTTACTGCAAACATAAAACCATATATTAACCACCGTCTGGAAATTCTTACCCCCCCGCTGACTCACCTCGCTGCCGCATATTGTATCGCATTCACAATATTTGCCCAATCACCCGTCCATTTGTCGAACCCTTTGCCTTGCGCCGGCGCTGCTAAATAGCTTGCTGTCGGTGAGAGTGGCTTACCTTCGCTAGCTGCGCGCCATGATTTCATAAGAAAGCGACCGACCTGCAAGAGCAGCACGGTGTTCTCACCTTCATAGGTGCAAGCAGCTGCGGCAGCCGCGACGATGGTATGCAAATTGGCTGAGGTCAAGTAACCATGACCACCGCAAGCTAAACGTAAACGTTCGGCACCCGCATTTGCATCGGCTGTGCAGAGTGCTTTCAGAGCGCATGCTAAGTTGTGTAATTCCGGTAGACGTATGTAATCACCACGCTCAATAGCCACGTAAGTCTCATGATACATAGACCACAGGGAATTTGTGGCGAGTTTATGTGCGACTGCCGTAGCAATTTCGGGAAAGAGTTTCATTTGTTGTGTTACATGATCGATAATTTGTGGTTCGGGTTCATTCGGATTGATTGGACTTTGACGACGCACAGCGGAATAGCGTGTTGCAATTGTAGCCGCTATAGCAAGCAGAAATGCATTATCTGCCGCTATCATGCAGCGCATCATTACCATGGTGAAGTAGGTGAGCACGGAAATGGGACTCTTGACGAATGTGCCATCCGGTTGTACCTTAGCATTTCGCATCATCATATTCGAACGTGGTATGCGCACATTTTTTAACCCCAAGAAACCGTTACTAACGCCATAGAAACCCTTTTTATGCCCGATCTCACCAATATCGATGCCCGGTAGAGGCATATGTGTTTCTTCATCGCGCAACTGCACAAAAAACATTTGTACTCCCTTTGGCTCATTGTCAATGTACAACTGAGCCACCAGCAGGCAATAATTACAGCAGTGACCCACTGAAGGTGTGAGATTAATTAAAAATAATAATTAACAAAACATTGTGTTTCATTACTCACAGCCGCCCGGCCACCATTTGTACGCGGTCAGCGTCGGTGTATTCAGCACGAACTCCTGCGTAGAACGATCGTAATCGGCACGTGTCTCTAGCCCACGCAAGAAAGTGCCATGCCCTAATTCAGTTTGAGCATAAGTACCCGTAATTTCGAAGTTCTCAACGCGTTTGCCAAAGCGTTCCCACTGCTCATCAGTACCTTGCATTTTGATTGCGTCCACCATCATCGAGAACTGTACGCCAAATGGATTTCCAGCAGGCATCGCACCCCATATCCAGGAGGACGTATAGAGCTTACTGAAATTACAAATGTTTTGAGCTCGCTAATACTTTGGAATTTTTTGGTCTTACGGCCATATATCATTGCCGCCAGGGTTAACCCGTTTTTGTATGGTGCGCAACTTTTTCGCCACATCAAAAGATTGCTTTAACGCCAACTCGGAGATCTCTTCATGTGATTTATAGAGAAAAAGTGTATTGTGCTCGGTCATATCGTTGAAGATGTCTTGTTCTAGGTTTGAAAAAATTTTAGGATTGTAAGAACAATTTTTTAACCATAGTTGTTAAATGACTCTTTTGGAAAAATGGTTCTTTAATTTAATGTCGAACGGGCATTTGGTTATGAAGTTATGACCGTCTGTAGTGTTGTTTCCGATCTTTTGTTATTTTTTACAAGTTTACGTGGAAATGTTTTACTTTTTGGACCGGATTATTTGGGGTTTATTTGGAGTTCTATTTGAATTGAATGAATGTTTGTCTTGAGCTCGGCAATGGTCTGAGGATTGCTGCCTTACTTTCTTTACAAAAGAAGTCAGTAGAGTCAGCGCTCGAGATCTGGATGGCTAGTAAATGTCATTTGTCTTTTTTAAATTAGTAATCGTCAATATCTTTTGCATTTAAGGTACATTGAACTCACATGCATTGATATCGTTTAAAAATTCCACATTCGAACTATAAAAACTTACCATATTATCAAAGATAAGACCATATCATATCACTATTCATGAAGTTCATTGTAACACCACATAAACAAAAAACAAAAAAAGTCACGAGTTAAAATACGCAAGCACATTAACTAAAATTGATATCCGATTTATTGAACTTTGGATTCATCATCTGCGCACAGTTGCCTATTTTTGCAGTGACTCGCATTATTACTGATCATTGAAAGGTGAAAGTATGTTCATACAGTTCAACATAGGTATAAAACACGCTCAAAGTTCAGCATTTTTGAAATATGAAAATTAAAACAACTAAAACACTCATTACCCAATTCTCTTTTGAAACGTAATTTCTCTGCTCCACCATGCCACCAACGCGCAAATTCGTCGACACGAAAACTAGCACCGTGGCGTTCCATTTCGAGATCGGGATTCACAATGTCCGATACCAAATACTTCTTGGCAGGCATTTTTCACAATTTTATATTAAAAGTAATTTACTTCAAAGAAAAATATTTATCTGTAAACTATTTGTCACACAATTTATTTCCCGAATGTAACAACAATGTATAGTTTCTCTAAGCACGTTCGCGCACCAACTGATCGCCATAGTCTTGAGTCAACCAACTCTTATGTATCTTCGACAGTTCTTTAGTGTGGTTTGAGTGAGAAAAGCTCAATTGGAGGAGCTATTTGGATGTTGTAGGTAGAGCGTGTCGTGGCTAGAGAAGAAAGCAATCAGCTGGTAATCATAAATATTTGTCTATACTCGTAGTAAATATAGAAAAAACCGTGTTGGTAATCAAAAGAGAAAAAGCTCGATGATAAGCCAATATAGGAATACGTATTAGAGTTTTGTTTTTGGTTTATCAAACGTATAAAAATACATATTTTGAACTTAGTTTAATTGTTGAACTTGGCTCCATACAATATTACTATCATTTTTTATAGCGGGCTATTTATCGTAACTTATACTCTAAAGGGGGGTATTCTAGTATAGACGCAATAATTCTAGGCAATTTTTGAAATTTAAAAAAAAAACGGCAATTAATATTTTTACTCCGTTTCTTATTAGAAAACAAAAAACAGAAACAGAAAAAAATCAAAAAGTTAAAAATTTCAAAAATAAACAACTGATGAAGTTGGAGGTCTAAAAAATTTAACACGTGACCATACCCACGATTTCAACTCTCCCAGCAATCTGAAACCAAAAACAAAAAATTTGTAATCTGGAATAATGTCGCAATGTCTGATTCTACAAAAAAGTTCGAAACTTTTTTTTACGAAATAGCGATTGCCTGAAAAAATATGTGTACCACTTTTTTGACTGTTTCCAATTGTTTACAAATAGTAATTGAAATTGGGGATATGGATAGTTCCACACATAGATAAGTCCATAAAGAAGACTCTCTAAAAAGTTCAGGTAAATCGGTCCAGCAGAACCTGCGAAATCGTGGGCATTGTTTTGAAAAAGACAGTTTCGAAAAAAACACGTTTATAGTATCGCGTAAAGCCGTAGCCGAAGTTTGGATACCGGATCAGCAAAATACCTACCAAAATAATTAGAATTTTGAAAAATCCACTTATAGATATATATTCTTTTACAGTAGGGATCGTTAGATCTCAATGTGCGCAGAACTTTATTTTGTAAGGCTTGAATAACTTTAAATTTTGATTCAACTGAACTGCTCCAGATTAGAATTCCATACGATGGTTACGCTGTGTAAAGAATGTATGACACAGGGCAAGAACGCTGTATTTTAATACACCAGCGCGTATGGGTCTCAGAACCGACTCAGCATCACGACGCCTGGCGTAGAACATCTGAATATGCAAGTATGACTCTATCAGCAGATAGAAAGACATGTGTAGATGAAAATCAAGCCTTTACACCAATAAATGACTTCAGGATAACAAAAAAAAAAATTAACTCAAGGGCATATGCTACTTTTCAAGCCAAAGATAAAAATTTCTAAACGGTATACATTTGAGATCTCGCTCGTACCTACCATTTTTTGTTATATAGAAAAGTCTGACCCAGTGTTATTATGTTTTTGTTTTGGTAAGGGTATGATATATATGTGTATACAGTATATTTCAGAAAATTTGTTTTGAAGTTCTTGTTTGGTTTTTCATCTGTGGCCTACTACACCCCGACGACCACAATACCTCACCAATCGTTCCCGCGACACTCGATGGACCATAAGAGATCCGGATTTTTATCGCACCAAGGAACTGTCAATAGCATTCTGGAAAAATATATGCCGAAGATTTTATGTCCCTACAACAACAACCATAACCATATCTTTGGCGTGTAGTTGAACATTCAACTGCTCTGGCAGTTACCAACAAAAATTATTTGTATTACGGTAGTTAGATGTTGTCGTAAGCTTGGTTTTTCATTGTTTGCCATGCCATATCATAGCATTTTTTATGTTAACAAATTTTATAACTTGATACGAGATATGTAATTTTTTTTAGTGTAAATATGTATCGAAAGAAAAATGAAGTGAGTTCATTTTCCTCAATTCATCTTCGGAATAAAGCCGGCATTCGGTGTGTTTTGTTGTCGAGTTCCACTAGCAATGTTGTGTTTGGCGAGAGTGATTTTTTTACTCTTTTCAATTTAACAATACAATGTACTTGCTTCTTGCATTACCATAGGGATAAAATATCATATCAATCAAATAGCGCTCAAAGATTGTTTTACGAAAGCAAGTATAAAGTTTTCTAAAATTAGAGAAGTACTAAAATTTTTTGATGTGCACATGCAAACTTTTTTATATAGAACGTTTTCTTAACTTATAGTTATACATGTCAAAAGCGATTCTCTTCTGCTGCCAAAAATGAAAAATTATTTTTATAAACTTAAAGAACTGAAAATCTTTAAAATTATCTCTGCAGTGGTTTAGAATATCTAGCAGACATTTTGGGTTTAACTGTAAAATTGTCTCTCACTGTATACCTTTTGAGAGAGTTAATCTTAATCTGTTGTTTTCAGCAGAAAACATCGAAAATGTTTCTAACATCAGATAATGTTAAATTAATTTTATAAACATCCACTGACTTAGCATTCTGAATAAGCAAAGAATGTTAATAAAAAAAAAATTGTGTTAACATTCTCTGGCATAAGTCAGCCAACAACAACCACCACCCACATCAAATCCAACAGCTGTGGTTTTTAACAGCGTTGGCAATAGTTTACAGAAACATGAAAAGCAACGTAAACATAGCAGCGAATGCTACAGAATAACATTGTCCATAAACACTCAGCCGCTAACAGCGGTTAACGCTATTTAAAGAATTAAATAACAACAATAACAATTACCATAAACAATTTTTATTCATTAACATTCTCTGACACAGCTTACATTCATTAGCAGCGACTGTTGTGTTAACAGCAATCTTAAATATTATTAACAGAAATATTTTAAGCAGCATAATACCAGAGAATGTTAATGACTTTTCATTATTTCATTAACATTATCCGTTAATGCTTTACTGTTGTAATCAGGGAATATTTAAATAATTATAAGCATAAAAATTTTATATGAATTGCTACTGCAAATAGCATTTTTAGTAAAAATTTGATTTGAAGCGTTAGCTAATATATTGTACATATTAGATGCGCTTAAGTTTTTTAACATTACTGCAAAGCACTTACAGTTTTATTGCTTTCATTGAAGGACTGTAGCAAATTATTAATATTTAATAATGCACATTTATTTATTAAATAATTATTTGTAAACAATTTGACTTTAGATTACCAAAATTTGGTTATTTAATCAAAATAATAAAACTCATCGTCATTACTACATCCTTCCAACCGTCATTTCAATGCTGAACTATTAAAAATTTCTGCACAAAACCTCTCGCAATTTTTTGATATGTTAAATGGAGCAATTCTTGATAACAGCACAAAGCTTTTTCCGCTCCAATAAACTAAACTGCTTAGCCCACCATCCACATTTACGTACCACACACCATCCACCACCCACCAGTTAGGCCAATCTTTTTGTTTACACGCTTGTTATCATCCCTGCGCCTGCCTGCCCGGCTACATATCCCAATAACTGTATGTGGATGCCGTTTACCAGCTGCTTGTTAGCTTTCAATTAAGTTCTCCACTGTCTGTATATATGCACATGGATATTATTGCTTCACCTACCCACTCAGCTGTTTGAATGAATTGTGACTTTTAGTTGCTGTTCGATATTCATTCTGTGCGTTTGCTTTGGCCGGTGGTTGCAATAACGGTGCAATATTTAAATGTTAAAACAAATACTCGTACGCGTGCATAAAAGTTCAAATCAAACAGCGTTACGGTGTCACTTGTTGTTAAAGTGTAATAAATCCAAGTTAAATATTTTAACGCCAATTAATTTGCTTTACATTACAACAATAAATGTCGCCGGCGGTGCATGACTACCGATTGTTTGTCAGCATACCTAAATGTGTGTGTATGTGAGTGATTTGTTAGTGAAATTTACGCGGGAATAAATCAGTGGTTGCTTATTTTCCAACGTTTTTGAGTTTTGTAAATTTTTAGCAAAAATATATATACGGTTATGTTCTATATTATTCTATTGAGTAAGTGAGTGTTCTGCTTTATTTTATGCCAACTTTAATTAAGAATTTCAAAACAAAAACTTAATGTGTGTTAATAGTAGACGCTAAAAAGGCGTAATTAAAGTAGTTCACTTGGTATACAAGTTGAATATATGTAGTTACTTGGCTGTTAATGCTTTCAACAAGTTGTGTAGAATTTAATTAAGAACTTTTAATGAAAGCTTCAATGCTAATTTAAGTTGACTTGTGCCGAAGTGTGCTGAAGCAAAAAAGTATATAAAAAACGTATATATATATGTATATATAAATACACATATTTGTAAATACAATATGTAAATAAACACGGTATTAAAAAAATATAAGTGAATTGACAAAATTACCTGCAGTATAAAAACCAATTAATTAAAAAAAAAAAGTGCGTCCATTATATAATGCATACTGTAATTGTTTATTAACAACCCATTAAGTAAATTGATAAATTGCTTAAACAAATTGATTATAATTATCAGCGGTTTTTATTACTTAATATACCCTTAATTATATAATGTATTTTTTATGACACATATATGCCTATGTGAAAGTGTAAAAACTGTTTAAAACAAGAAAAAATATTAAGGTCGGCCACACCGAAGCTGTAATATCCTTTACAGATGCATTTCTTATAACATAAAATGGTATAAAAATATCTTAATACCATTTTGTATGGCAGCTAGATGCTATAGTTGTCTGATTTGAACAGTACATTCGAAAATTGTACCGTTACCTTAGAAAATATTCTATATCGTATTTCTTGAAGATATCTCGTCAAATAAAAAAGTTTTCCATACAAAGACTTGATTTGAACGATCAATTTTTATGACAACTAAATGCTATAGTAGTCCGATATCGGCGATTTCTACAAATTAACAACTTCCTGGAGAGAAAGGAATGTGTGCAAAATTTTAGACCGGTATCTCAAAAACTGACGGACTAAATTGTTTAAGTACATTAAGGCAGACAGACGAACATGGCTCAAACGACTCAGCTCGTTACGTTGCCCATTTATTTTATATAGATACTTTAGAGGGTCTCTAACGTTTTCTTCTGGGTGTTACAAACTTGATGGCAAAGTTAATATGCCCAGTTTAGGGTATAATTAATATAAAAAACAATTCAATTAAATCTCCCATCAAACACCACTACATAAGCTACATACAAACATTAGGTCGCGTGCACAGTACAATTAAAACTATTAAATTTCACTTAAACATTAAGTGTGCATCATCTTTTATGCCATTATATTCATTATATTTAATTTTAGTTTGGATCTTAGCAATTTTTTATTTTATAAAAAAACAACAATTGAGCAAAATAAGCTATTTTTTCGATCAACTCGAAAGATATAGCAATGCCTCATGCATACATTATTGCCTTGTGCCAACCAATGACCCGAGGTTTGCTCGCTTGCAATTCACAGAACCTTCTAAAAAAAGTCGGCAAGTCGAAACTGAAGATCTGGATCCAGACAATGTATCCGCTTTTTGACAACAGACCTGTTTGGTTTCAGAAAGTGAATATAGTTTTACTGTCATTGTGATGCATTTTGTCAAAACCAGTTACCAACAAGATCTTTTTCAAGACTCTGCGGATCTATCACGGATAACACGGATTATCTGTTTTCCAAAGACTGATATTTTCCTTTTCTTTTTAATACGAAACGATAGATATTTAGAAATATACTGAAATAAGTCCCATTCTGTATTTTTTTTACAGGTGCAATAGTGACCAACTTACGTACACACGGAAAAATCGAAACAAGAAATTGTCATAAAACAGACAATACTCCTTACGGATGGCGCAGAGCTCATTAGACCACTTAAGATTTACTTGTGGGCCAAAAGAATCTGTCGAAATCACAAGAGCTGATGGTAGCCTTTCACGCCTTCTGCGATACCCAGCTATCCTGTAGTTAGCTACGATTCCGCTGTGGCCTCCTGGCTAGTTTTATTACGAAGTGATTTGATGCCGTTAAGAGCCAGTTTGGATATCTCGAGTTATTTTCTAAGTGGATAGTCATTACTTTGAAGCAGGAAAAGTTTACACAAATATGCACCGGAACAGTATATATCTACAGCAACCTGAATGGCAGCCATCTCGGCATGAAAAACGCTACAGTAGCCAGGAAACCTGAAGCTACGGTTAATAAATATTTCCTGACAATTGCAATCTCTCACAAACCATCCCTAATCTTACACCAATTAAGAAGCTCACTACAACACTATTTCAGTTTCTCCTCATTTACATCGCGCAGGTATGTTTGCGAAGAAAATACTGCCAGAGTTTGATTTGAATTCAAAGCGTGTTTATTTAGAAATTGTGAGTCTCTGAGTTTGATAGCTACGTTCGTGGTCATACATCTTCCAGCTATGTTATGTCTATGGGTGCTACATATATGAAGGATGACATTAAGTGTAATGGTTGGTTTTGCCCTTAGACTAACCACTGAAAGTCCATTTGCCAAAGGTATAGTGCTTAAATTTTTGTAAAAACACATTTTTTTAAAACTGTGAAGAAAAATATTAAAGTTCAACGTATTAAATACCATATTCAGACAATTAATGAATTATTATCGAAAAACGTGAAATAATTTGGCGAATTGCGATTATTCTCGATTTGGTCTAATGTGTGACAAATCTGCTATTTTTGGATTGGGTAGAGATCTGAGACGGCAATGCTTAAAAGCTTTACTTAAGGTCGCTCAATTGCAATTTATGTCACTGCGTTCCATTTTATTTGTTATTTTGGTTTTATTGGTTCTCGGTTCTTAACAATTTTCTATATATGTATGTACTAGATCTACTACTACACCTAATAGTTTTTATTAATTTATTAAAAAGAAAATAAAATAAACAGTTTTTTACTCACACCTTTTATTTGTCGGCCTGCAGTTTTTTATCAAAACAACAGAATAATATTTTTTATGATATATATTTGCTTGTACGTTTGAGTGTGTGTATTCTTGACTTATGATTCGTAAACACAGTAAAATAAAACTGTAAAATATTTCAACGAGAAATGCACATTGACAAACCACACACGGCAATTAACGGTGAAGAACGAGTGAAAAGCTGATGGCAGAGAAATGTTTTGGCTAGAATTGTGAAGTGTTGATTTTATTACTGATTTATTGGCGAGAACGCAGCTGGAAGTGTTACGCAAAAATAAAAGAAAAAAAAAAAAACATTATATTATTTAATAAATATTTCATGTGTCCATAAAGAATGCGCATATTATGAACAGAAATAAACTGTCAACGCAACGGACATAAAGCATAACTCACGCATGCATACATATATATATATATATATGTATGCATATGTGTTACGGTTTATAAAATATTTATTTAATTATAAATAGTTCGATAATTTATATGGTAGACATGAAACTAGAAAAGAGTGAAGCGAGTTGGTATTTAAAATTTAATTTCCTCAAAAAGTTTTTTACTAGTGGGCTACAAAGGCTTTGAAAGGGCAGAGAGTGAATAAGATATGATAAACAAAACTTAAATATTAGATATTCACAAACTTCATTTGTAGTCGTAGAAATCTTACTAATAAAATAATAATCGTTCTAGCCCTTTAACAGCCAGCTGTTTGTCAGTAGTACACTACAATCTTACTTGAAATCACTTTACATTTTCACATTCCTATCCTTTAATTTGCAAAGCAATTAGAGGAATGTATTCAACACGATCGTGCTATTAACAGTTAGCATATTAATCTTATTTTGGTTTACATCGAAGCAGGCATAGAATATTTGATCCAATGGCTGAGCGAGAAACTAAAATAAGTGAATGTAAATCACCACAGAATTACACTCGTATATCTGTTCTGAAGATTAGATCCTAAATTTTCAGCACTGTCAAGCCTTTAGTGCAGAGTATTGTTAGATATTTCACTGAGCTTCTCTTTAAATTACTAGGCTGCGCCTAGATGTTATCCGCTTAATTAATACATAGTCATCGATTAGGTATTTTCATGTACCTCAGATGTTTCTGCAGAGCTTCAACGTTCCCTGCCCCTGCTTTTTGTTGTTTCAAATATTATCTTGATTTAATATGGTCTTGATTTAAACTCGAAATCCATTACACTTGTCAACGGAAAAATACAGCTTTTTTCTATTACTGAAAAACATTTTGAAGAAAATTTTTAGATATTATTCAAGTTACATACGATCTCTGACGGCGCTAACAAAATTCCTCCACTGATATAATGATTCCGCCCTTGTCCGCGGATGAATCTAAAAAAAGTGCTCTACTTGAAGATCTTGTTGGTATAATGACCTATGGTCTCTACTTTAAAATATTATCAGTATAATAAGCTACGATCGAAAAAAAATCAAAGGCTGGCATTTAAAAGAAAGTTGATTTTTACCTAAAATGTTGATGAATGCACGTTTAACACCCGTTGGATCTGATTGAACTGAGCAATTATACTTTAGAAGGCTGCAACTCAAAAACTATTTGAGGCATTGAAATAAAATTTTAGTGCGTTATCTATCGAGGTATGAAAATACTGATTATTTTTTGGTAATTTCAGAATAGGTGTCCCCCTTAACCATTTATTTCTCTCTGTCACTATAACTTCATGTTTAACACTTTCCTTGCTTAAAATTGAGCGAATATAATACTACCGTAAGGAAGGAACCGTTAACACGTACATACATACATATTATATATGCCGATTCTACACGCTTTCCAAAATAAACATCGATAGCGAATTCTGTTAGAAATATAGACCCTAAATCATTTTTTTGCCCTTTGCTGATCTAACACAAAGCATAAAAAGTCTAATGCTCGTGTTAAACACTCCATGAGTCTTCACGTTTTAATATTTGCACTGCTATATAAATATAAAAAATAATTAATATATCTCAAAAAAAGAGGTAAATAATTAAAAAATTTTAAGATATTTGTTTATAACACATTTACTCATTTACACTACTCCTAGAAGTGCAAATATTATTTATTCTTCATGTAATAAATATTGAAGAGCAAACATTAATTAAAAACTTACACCTTATAGCTACAAGAGTAGTTTGATAAATAAGTAACTTTTGAAAATACGGCTCCTGTCAATTGCTCTCTTCAAAGCAGTGGACTAAAGCCAATTTGACCATAAAAAGGCTACCCTAATAAGACCACGTACTCCTTTGTCGCCCATCATTGGCAAATTCTCTGTTGGTGTCGCTCATTGCGTTCACACGTGCGACACGAGTCCGATAACTCGAATTGAACAATTTTCTGCCTTTTCTTTCATATCATATTCTCAAATTCTTGTACGTTTCATGTACGCAGTGCTTAAACTATTTTTGATTACCTAATTTTTATTCTTATTCACCCTCTTCTAACACATTTCTAATATATTATGGATATTAACATACATATTTACATATTATAACATATATATATATTATATATAACCATAGCAGAGCGCAAGTGCCACGGTCCCTTAGTATTTTCTCGTCGTTCCCTCGTCTACAAACACTCATTTGTGCGTCAAAAAAAGTCCTCATCTGAACATATTCTAATTGAACACTACAGCGGCTCTGTACTATTTTTCCATGAACTCTGTTGAGGTTGTGCCAGTGCTAATGTGGCTGAATTTTCAAATTATCAATGGATATCGCCAGAAATCGCTGATTTGATTGATTCGTGGAAGATTTGTGGTTCAATAATGAAAATGCGTTGCTGTCAGCTGAGACTGGGGTAACACCCACTCTCTTTCGTTCTCCCTCTCTTACGTTCCGTCTCCTTTCACAAACTCTGCAATTTTTTCCACCATACGTGAAATATATATACAATCATCATGGGACTTCAGAGACTAAGAAGCTGTCAAAGTAGCGAACTTCTCCGTCAAAACTTGCATCACAGATAATAGTCTAACCTTTACATTTATAGCCCCCCCATATAAGTTCCTATTATAAGCTGGAAAGATAGCAGATTTGTCTCTTGCCTTTTACCTAGAGCAAAATTATATTTATTATACACCCTTCAATTTTCATCCACTTATCAAACTAGCCCCATATGTTTGGTAATTAAATTTAATCACATGAAAGTTTTGCCAGTCACTCAGTTGATCGTGTTTAGCGGTTAAATAATGAAAAGTTGTGCTAATTACAATTCTTAAATTTTGAAATTAACAACAACTTGAAGTAATCTAGACACCTGGTGTCAACATTAGTAAATAAACTGAAAAATCGAGAAACTCGTATCATAACAGTTAATTGGATAAGTAACTTTTACTTTTAGTTTTAGATGACAGTACATGTTATATAGGATCGAGTGGATCTCAGCCGTCTTCGCTTCCTCACTTATTAGCTCGCTACTTTTGATCTTGTCGAAAATTTCAATGTAATATTTCTCCAGTTGAATTCAATAAAAGAGCGTATGTTTTTATTTGGTTATGCTAGTCTATTTGATGCATGACAGTTTTTTGTTCGATTCGCCACTCTCCAAATTTAATTAATTTATGATAAACCAATTCAATCCTTATTAATTAATACGGCTATTAATTTAATTACCCTTCATTTAGAGTCTAGAGTTGTTGAAGTTGAGAAAGGGACAATTCATATGATATCTGTGAATCACTCCGCGTAATCAAAATCTTTGTGTCGAACTTTTTTTGACTAGCATTTCTAAATTTCAATATCAAACCAAATTGTAATGATATCGTAATACTAATGCTGGTTCACGTGACTCCCGTTTGAGTATTCAGAAAAGCTTTTAAAAATAGATATTAAGATTGTATTTAATTTTAGAAAAAGTACGACCAGTTTTTTCTATAATAATTGTACTATTACACTCTAGAAATCCAAAATCTCTTTTTTTATTATAATAGAATCCACAGTTTTTTTTACTACAGTTTATCAAATTTCGGGCAAGGAGCACATCTAGTTCAACAGCCTAAAAGAAAAAATTCAATATTTTTAGAGTTCCACGCGATCTCTGACGACGCAAAAAAGGGTCTTCCACTGCTGTAGTATTTTCCTCCTCAAAAATTGACAAAAAGGTATTTTTAAAAATTGTAAACACAATTAAGGTAATTTTTGTCCTTGGCCCCTTTAGAGAAATGGTAGGTCATTGTATGAAGTTCTGGTATATACAGAGCATGAAAAAAAAAATTTAATATTTTAATCGGATCAGTTGTCCGAGTAAATATTATTGTTTCGAGAAAAGCGCATTTAAAAATAACCTGATGCAGCTGCTTGAACTGTGGGACTACACATAGAAGGCTGTAACTCAAAAATTATTCGCAATATTTAAAATATTAGTATGTTATTTTTTAATCGAAATCTTATCGAAAAAATCAAAAATAATCGATATTTTTTTAATTTCACAACAGGTGTGCTCCTTAAAATAGATAAACAAAATTGTTAAACAAATGATTAAAAGAAAATAAACTAACTTTAGCTTGCCTCGCTTTTTTTGGGTTTGTTTATTTTCAATCGAAAAAGCCAGTTCT